TTTAATTTGGTTGTACGCAAAATATGCATCGAGAAAACTCATCAATTCATGTCCAACCGTAGCATCGATAATTTGGTCTATATTTTGCAATGGAAAAGAATCCTTAGGGCAAGCCTTATTTAGATCTTTATACTCTATACACATTCTATATTTTTTTTTGTTATTTTTAGGTACGACTACTACGTTAGCTAACCAATCAGGATAACTTACTTCATGTATAGAAACTATGTTTAACAATCTGGTTACCTCTTCTTTTATAAACCTATTCCTGATCTCAGCTATAGGCCGCTTCTTTTGCTTCACCGGAGGGAAATTAGGGTCCAGACTTACTTGTGGATAGCCACATACAGTGGAATACTTGTCATATCAAAACGAGACCATGCAAAGCAATCAAAGTTAGCTTTTAAAAACTCAATAATTTTAAGTCTGAGTTCGAGACTCAACCCTGTTCCCGGGTAAACCTTTTTATCCGGGAACTCTATGAACAAAGTAGTTTGTTCAAGTTCCTCTACGGTCGACTTTGTCGCATCTGCTTCTTTCGGTACCTGAAAGGATCTAGGCACCTGATAGTAATCTGATGTCTCCTCCTATTTGTCACCTTCTACTGGCTCTGGAAGGGTAGTATACATCGGTTCCTGTAGTTGCTATTTGCTCATTCCTTCTGCCTTGATACTGGATAAGGTGGCTGCATTTATTTCTCTCGAAACAGGTTGATCGCCTCTAATCTGCTTGATCCCATATGGTGTAGGGAACTTCAGTAATTGATGATAAGTCGATGGCACAACCTTCATTTCATGAATCCGAGGTCTACCAAGGATCACGTTGTATCCCCTATCTCCATCCACCACCTCGAACAAAGTAGTTTTTGTTACTCCTTCGGCATATGTGGGCAGTAAGATCTCGTCGTTACACTCGTTAAGTTAAATCCAGCCAAAAGTTTTATTGTTGGAACTATATTTTCGGTTAACTTTACTTGTTCCAAGACCCTCAATTGGATGATATTGGCTGAACTATCTGGATAAGCCAAAACATGTTTAATTTTAAAATCTAAAACATTTCAAAATATTATCAGAGCATCATTATGTGGTAAAATGAGGCCATCTGCATCTTTCTCTATGAAGGTGACTTCATCATCTTCTTATGCTTCTCGGATTCGCTTTCCATGAGTTACCAATATCTTTGTCGTCTTCGCTGCCGAGAATGTCACCCCATTTATTTCAACCCCACCAAAAATCATGTGTATCGGTAAATGGGGTGATCCTGCGGCTGGTTCCGTTGCATCTCGATTCCTCCCATAATTATTTTTGGCCCGGTCACTCAGAAATTCTCTATGGTGATCATTTTCCAACAAAGTCGCAACCTTCTCAAAAAGATGGCAGTCCGCAGTCCTCTGGCCATGCATTCCATGGAATTCACACTACAAACTAGGATCCCTTTGATTGGGATTTGATCGAATTGGTTTCGGAAATCTTGCCTCCCTGATATTTCTCATAGCTGAAAACAATTCTACCAAACTAATGTTAAAGTTGTAATCTAGCAACGGCGGATATCCTGAATCCTCGGATTCGATGGTTCTGTATACTGTAAAAGTCGTGCTACTCTGACCACGATCTATCCTTCTATCTATTACAAATCTTTTCGATGACTAAAAACCTTTAGTTCCACGCCCATCGGCTTTTTAATATGGCTGGAAATGACTCTTGGAAGACCTCTGATCTGCATCAAAATTACTTTTAAACTTTTCCTGATTCCGACCGTGATTACGACCTTTGGATGACACCGAAGAACTCAATTGATCATCTTGAATTCTGATTTTTGATTCATAACAATTATAGAGATCTGCCCATGTGGTTTCCTGAAACTCCAACAGGCTTTTCTACAATTTCCTAGAAGCATCGGAGCTTAAAGGATTGAGAAATTTTGTGAACGCTTCAGCTGCCCACTTATCAATTACTGCCAGCAACAATGTCCTCTCCTTTTGAAATCGGATTACGAACTCCCGCAACAATTCAGATTCTCCTTGAGCGATTCTGAATATATCTGCTTTCCTAGTTTAGACTTTCCTCGCCCCATCATGAGATTTAATAAAGGAATATGCAAGCATTTTAAAAGAGTCAATCGAATATTCAGGTAAAAGAGAGTACCATGTTAAAGCACCCCTTTTTAGGGTTTCACTGAATTTCTTCAGCAGGACAGATTCGATCTCATACGGGGCCAAATCATCTCCCTTTACAGCTATAATGTAAGTTATGATATGTTCTTGTGGATCCAAAATTCCATTATACTTTGAAATATCTGGCATCTTGAATCTCTTTGGAATCAACTCTAGGGTTGCACTTGGTTTGAACGTTAACTGCGTATATTTCTTTGAATCCGGCCTCTTCAATATCGGTGGTGCCCCGGGATCTTATCCATCCGAGCATGGAATTCTTTAGCGTTTTGATCCATCCGATCATCCATTTCCCTCATGAATCTCATGATCTCGATTTTAAAGGGATCATTTGTGTTGTTGTCATTCCCGGTCGATCCACTACTTGCTCCACTTTCTTGATTTTCATTAAATCCAAACTCTTTCCTCAAAGTGATGTTACCGGTTCTTTCCGCTGTTTGATTTGCAGGCAGGGACTCGAACTCCTCCATTGGAATTATTAGAGGCAACTGAAAATGCTTGCTGGAGCTCAGTCATTATTCGGCCATGTCTTGAGAGATGATTCATGATTTTTCTTTGCTGCGCTCTCAAAACTTTCACCGTTTCGACAACTTCTCACACACCGAGGATTCGCTCTTCGCGAACCGAAGTTGTCTCATCTCCGTCGTTGCGAGTTTCACTGGTTAAATCATCGCATTAATCCCCATCACGGAACATATCCTCACGCTTGTTGTTTGTTCCAGCATTGAAGGAGTTGTTCACATCATTAGTTGCCATATCTGTTTTTACTTTACTAAAGAAAATCATCAAAATGTATTAGTAACAGATGAATAGATCAAAGTAATACCACAATTGTCTCTACCTCACGGTGGGCGCCAAACTATTTATTTGAAAAATGGTACAGTTTAATTTGTAACGTAGTTTATAGATACGTGAATTAATTTGATCCAAGAATATAAAATAACTAAGTACAGAAATAAATAAATTAACGATACTTGAAGAAAACACAAGCCTAACTGTGAAATGAGCTTCTTTAGAAGCAAGAATAATGTATAGAGCGGAAAGAAAGAATGTTGTTAATAGAAATAAGAGTTAGTTTGGCCTTTTTTGCTTACAGATAATTTGTGTCTACAAGGAGTACAAATTCTTCTATTTATAGCCCAATTCAAGGAGACAAGATAACTAAATAAAGCTCTTCTTTAATATAAATAAAGACCCCTCTTTATGGTTGCATAATGGTTGAGTATAAATGCAAAGATTCTTTGAAACGGCTGCCCATTGAATGTTGCATTCTCCAACTAATATCTTCCTTTCAAACTTTCGTCCCCGTTCCAGCGTCTTCGGAACTCACACAGCACCAGTCACATGTTCGTAACCGGTGCTAGCTATTTGCTGACTCATATCCTATTTGTATTCACTGTCATGTGTCAACTCGACGAGCATCCACTTGTCATTCAACAATTTTACCCCATATATTCATAATAGTGCAATTTTTATTTGAGTGCGCTGTAATTTGTAATTTGTAATATCTGGTTAGATTAGCAACCCAGCGGTCTGAAGCAAGGAAAAAATAAGTTACTCTACTATTAATAAAAGTCAACAACTCTTCGGATGGACCATAGTTCACCTTGCGCAATATATACTAGGGTTCTCAAAATTTACAATAAAGATATCAAATTCCTTAGCTCCACGGCTCCACCCTAGATTTTTTAACTCATATATAGAAGATTTAAGAAAAGAGACCTTCCTTCCATGGGAACTGAAAAATGGTGCATTATATCAGTAGTAATTCAGTTTTTTGAATGACTGCAACAAGTATAGACAACTGATTTCCACTGTCAAATCAACAAAATTTAAATTAGAAAAGAGGGGTAGGTGGGATACCGAGCCCTCGAACCCCTTACTATCAAATGATAGGTTAGCTTCCCCGACATTCGATGGTCCATTTGAAAGGGCCAACACAATTTGATGATTTGATGGACTTTCTTATCTTGTATTCACTTTTCTATAAGAGAAAGTAAAAACTTAGATGACCTTTTTGTTTTCCTTTCCTCTACAACAACCATATAAATATTATTTCTTCAGTAAGAACTTCCCTATTCAAAGGTCGACTTGTACACTCATCGATAATTTTTTCGTTTGAACCAAAGAACGTTTGACTTGTAAATATTCTCCGAGTTTAAGTTTGTGCAGTGAAAAAATATAATTTTTACATATCATTAGATTAAAATAATCGATAAAAATAGATAACCATAGCAAGCACCTTAATATTTAAACATGAGAAATAGAGTTAAATAATTACCGTAAAGAGGCAAGAGGTATGAAAATAGAGAACTTTTGGTATGGAACTAGTGCTTTACTCCTTAGCGAGTTACTATACATAAACGAATCCTAATTAGTAAGTTTGGAATATCTTAAAAAGTTAAAAATTTGTTATAATTAGTTAAAATGCATTGATAAAGTGAATTTCTTAATTGTATTAGTGTATACGACTTAAATTCATATCTCAGGTGCGAGTGACTACTCACCCGAAGTTATTTGGTGACAAAAGGGTGTTATTTACCCTTTTGACCGGCAAATAATGTGGCCATGTGACTTCCTCTAACGTAGGAAACTTCAACAATAACTGTTGCAACTTGCAGAGAGAAAGAGAAAATATAAAGCCCAGAGATGGTGGGAGAGACCGACCATTGCGGAGTATAACTCTCTTTCTGACATGTTACAAATCCTATCTAAAAGACCTAAACGTTGAAGTTGAATTCTTCTTCCAGCCGTTTTTTAATGAGTTTTTTTCCAAGTAAGACAATATATAAAATATATTACTTAAGTTGTGAGCAATTGGTGCATTGACATTTTTGTTTGTGTGCAGTTAAGCCACTGAGTTTGAATCCTTTAATTAGTTTAAAAGAAGTCAAACACTGCTGCCTCCTCTCCTTATAAAGAAGACTACTATTTCTCTTCAAATATTGCTAAATTTTGGAATTCAGACAAAGAGATCTAGCTAGAAAAAATAAAGGAGATAATAAGAAGATAAGGTCCATATGGAGGCTGCTTTGAGAAATTCTATTCACGTCAAAGAGGAAAACAAGAACAAAGCTGAATCTTGTCCTGATCGTGAAGATTGTGCAGAAAATATTTTCCTTAAGGTATTTCTTTTAATAACACAGCACTCTCTATGATCTGGATATTCTGTGTTTTAAAATTAGACTTATGAACATAACATGTTGTCTACAAGCTTTGGTGATCCAACTTTCTAAGTAATCTGCATATCATTCTTAACATATGAACTATTAAATCCTCAAAAGATTTGGAAATCTGCGCATGCATTATTATCTTAACAATCCGATCTTCTTCACCTAACAAATTAACCAGAGACCACAATATATAGAGGAAACAAAAGATCGATGTTGATTCACATGAACAAACAAGAAATAATTAAGGTGAGTTTGTTATATAATTAACACAGCTTTATCCATAATTTAGTTCTTTAATTTGTGCTTCAGGTTGGGAAGGGAAGAAAAGAGCGTGAGGATGATAAGTCAAAGTCATCCTCTCCTCAGCAGAAGGATTTCACCCTTGATAATGAGGTAAATTAATTATGAGTGAAACAAAATCATCTTATACTGATTCATGTCCATTATATTCACGGAGTTGTTCCTACTAGAAACTAAACTTAATTTATACATGCATGGTTTAATTATCTTCTTTGATTTAATTGTTGATTTCACCAAAATAAAAATAAAAAATATAAAGTTTCTTATAGTATATGTACAGTAGTAGTTAGGTTGATAACGTCACAGTTATTAATATGTCAAAATCTTGATAAAATTTTCAAATAATTTTACAGTGAGCTGGTGGAACAGAAATATATAGGTGCAGTAAAAATGTGAAACCTAATTAATTGGAGGCTCCAGTCGCAAGAAGCCGACCAACTTGCTGTCGAAATGTTTTTGTAGGAAAAGTCGTATTAACGAGCAGCAAGTTGTGGAACTATTTTCAGCTTTTTCTAAACATTTGACCGTTGAATTAATGTACGCTGTAGTCATCCTTACTAATCGATCCAGATGTGACTTTTTGACAATAATTGTAGTGCATATACAGATTTTTTCTATTATTAATTCCTTCCTATTAGGCAATATCTAACTTTATTTAATGCTTCAACAGGGAGCTGCTGTCATGGTAAAGAGAGAAAGATCGCCACCAGAACTCAACTCAATGGCATCTTCATCCACTCAGAAAGAACAGGTCTGAGTTATATATACGTTAATTAATAGTATATGCCAAATACTTTGACAAGTTGAATATCATTATTAATTTGTTGTTTATAAATTTTTTCTTGGTAACTCAGGGATAAAAGACAAAAATATAGTAAAATTTAGAAAGGATTTTGACATGATCAGATCCAAAATTAATGGTTTCTTATATTTTAAGTAAACATAGAAAATTTCATATTCTCTGGTGATAGCCCGGCCAATCAGCTATTTGATGAATACATACAATTACTATTAACAATTTGGAGGGGCATGCCTTATCTCATGGATCTGTAATATGAATGAACTAATCCGTTCATGATAACAAAAAAAAAAAAAAAAAAAAAAAAAAAAAAAAAAAAAAAAAAGATGGTTTCAAAATCATATTTGAAGAAAAAAAGAAAAAGAAAACAATCATATGTTAATCTTGTTAGCCATCTTCCATTTTTTTTTTTGGAGATGGTCCATAATTCAGAACNGGACATCGGATTCTTAGTATACATTTATTTGGATTAGACACCAGACTCCGGGCTCATTGTACTAGTTATTGTTATAACTAGTGTTGTATTGGTGTGTTGCTAGTAACCTTACAGAGAGCGAGCTATAAAGATAGAAGAAGAGAAATCAATTAAGAGGTACAAATTCTTATTTTTATTTGTGTGTGTGTGTGTGAATTTGTAGAATGATCAGCTTGCATCAGCCAAAGTTGAAATGCGAGAGGTAATGGAAGAAAATCAGAGGCTGCGAACGCACTTAGATCGAATCATGAAGGATTATCGAAACCTTCAGATGCAATTCCATGATATTGCCCAAAAGGAAGTTGAAAAATCCAGCAGTACTGTGAATACTACACATCATGAATCTGATGAAGAAGCCGATCAACTTGTTTCCCTTAGCTTAGGAAGGACATCGAGCGATATGAAAAAGGAAGAGTTGTCTAAAATCTTTAGCAAAGATAAGGCTCATTATAATGAGGAAGAAGAACATAAAGCTGGTGGATTAACACTAGGATTGGATTGCAAGTTTGAAATGTCTGCTAAAACAACTCCTACGACAGAATCTTCACCGGTTATTCTCAGTCCAGAGAATAGCTTAGAAGAAACTAAGGAAGAAAATGGAGAGACGTGGCCTCCAAACAAAATTCTCAAGACAATGAGAAATGGAGATGATGATGTTTCTCAACAAAACCCTACTAAAAGAGCTAGGGTTTCTGTTAGAGTCAGATGTGATGCCCCTACGGTAAGGATTTATAGTGCATGCACTTTTTGAAATTAGTGGAGTGTATATTTTGTATTTATTATAAAGTAAAGAATACAATCTAATCTATGTATTGTGTTAATGATGATTTTTCCTTTAATTTTTTTGTCACATTGATCAGATGAATGATGGATGCCAATGGAGAAAATATGGTCAAAAAATTGCAAAAGGAAATCCATGCCCTCGAGCTTACTATCGTTGCACAGTAGCACAATCCTGCCCAGTTAGAAAGCAGGTAATGTAAATGGTGGCATGTTACATTGAATCTATACAATTAATTATCAATTGAGCTATATATATATATATATATATATATATATATATATATATATATATATATATATTGTGAATTTATTTTAATGCTAGTGGCAATTCATGACCTTCTGAAAGTTTGCCCTACAAAAGCTTATTTATTCCTTACGGATACAACTTATATATACCCACAAACGTAAAATATTTTTAATTTATTATAACATGAGATTGTTATCTTATTTTTCAAATTACTATAGTATCTTTTAGGTGACCTGATCGATTTTTATATATCATCAGGTAATGAAATTGCTTTGCTACTCTATTGCTAATTAATAGCCACAATTTTTTTGGTCTAATTTTCAGGTTCAAAGATGTGCTGAGGACATGTCAATATTGATCACCACTTATGAAGGAACACACAACCACCCTCTTCCTCTTGCAGCCACAGCAATGGCTTCCACCACCGCAGCAGCCGCTTCCATGCTCTTATCCGGTTCGTCCAGCTCATCAGACCCAAGTCCACAAGTAACCGCCGCCGCCGCCGCCACCACCACCTCAGCCAATCTCAACGGACTCAACTTCTATCTCTCTGATACCTCAAAATCAAAGCCACCATTTTACTTCCCAAATTCAACCTTCTCATCATCATCTGCACCTAATTCCCTCCCTACAATAACTCTTGATTTGACTTCCACCTCATCCTCCTCTTCCCTTTCTCATCTTACCAGAATGGGTAGTACTAGTACTTTCCCCCCAGCTAGATATAATAATAATAATAATTCGTCCGCAAACGTCCTCAACTTTAGTTCATTGGAATCCAATCCACTTCCCATTTCTTGGAGTAATGGAGTGCTTAATTATGCAAATCAAGCCTATAACAAGAACCAAAATATTGCTTCTCTTGCCTTCTCATCAAGACCAACTCAAGAAAATCTTTTCCAATCTTATTTACAAAGAAATATTAATACGCAATCTTCTTTACCACCAGATGCAATTTCAGCTGCAACAAAAGCAATAACATCAGACCCAAATTTCCACTCTGCATTAGCTGCTGCTCTTACGTCAATCATTGGAAATACTGGCATTGGCCACAATAATCTGAATCATGTTACTGAGCCATTTCCAGTGTTATCCAGTCTCCCGTCAAGCTCAAATCCAAATAATAAGTGTTCTTCAACTTTTCTGAATAAACCAACTTCTTCTTCCGCAAATACGCAGTCTGCAAATAATAACTTGGTGTTTTTCACGCAACCTAATTCTTCATTGCCATTTTCAGCACCCAAGGGTAAATCTACCTCTCCTAGTGATAATAAGTTTGATTAAATTTTCATGCTTGGCTTCGTTGGATTTTTGCTGGCTGAAGCAAGGAATTAGCTAGTTAATTAGCAGCATTAATCATCTGTTGAGTACTTTTTTTTGTGATGATTTGGACGTAAATAATCCAGATAGAGTTTGTAGATATATTTATTAGTTTCATAAGTCCAATTGACTCTTTGAAAGCTGAAGTGATCACTACTTTATTTAGCACTTCATTTTGTTGCTAACTTGAATATGGTTGTAAATAAGATTTTTGTACAAATGTCAAATGTATATCTCTTTTAGTACATGGATTTGGGTTGCATGCCTCCCTATTTGCAGTTTGGAGTTTGATATATCATTGGTAGTTGGAACCTTTTTTTATTTTTTATTTTTCCAAAACGGTGTCTTTAGATATGATATGAGATAATTCGAAGTAATCGAAGGACTTAAGGTGAAGGGTATCCGATAACCTTCTTTTTCTCTCTCTCTCTCTTTCGTATAAAGTACAAGAAATGACTGGGACATTATAAACATGCCAAGAAGTACATGTGTACATCAATTTGAAGCAAGCTTCTCATTTATTAATGGATTTATCAATATTGAAGCAACTTATAATATGTACAAATTAGGTTGGTAAATTGGCATTTCATCGAAAGTATAAGGCTCCCTCCTATTCATTTTTTAGCCGAAATTGCTAAATATCGAGTTAAGTTGAGTTTAGTTGAGCTTTGTGATATTAGTATACTAAGCCGAAGTGGCTAGCTCTTTCAATCTAGTATTTAGAAAACAGATATAAAAGATTTATAAAACAAATTGATAGACTTTTATTAATTTAAGACAAGATTAATTAAATTAAAATGCTTGTGTTAGTGGGTATGGCAAGAATATAATACTTCCATATAAGTATGTTACTATAAAAGATGTAATACTTATATAACTAAGCTATATCAATATATGGAGATATATTTTAAATGGCGTTTTCGGGACAAACTCTGGAGCCAGCCCTGGGGCGAGGCGCATCAAAAATGCCCCAAGGCAAAGGTGGGGGAGGGGGGGACGAAAATCTCAAAAGGAGTATGGCCAGCAATTCGGGGCGTACGTCTAGGTGTTGAGGCACGTTTTTGTAGTGAGGCATAAGCCCAAGAGACTTCTTCAAATTAAAACAAAATTTGTTGAATAAATCTTTAACATAATACCCAAATTCTCAAAAGTCAGCTTGTGATTACTCGAAAGTTTTAAACAGGAACTGAATCATTAAATTTAAAATTAGTCAAGACCTTTTTTTTATTGCTAGAAGCCCTAATTTATGGTCTTTTTCAATTTTATATTTTATCCGCTAGTCTGCTACTATCTCCAAAAAGCAACGAACAACTATTTTTTTTTTATAAATACAAAGAGAACTCCATTCTCCTCTATAGCAACAAGTTTAAAGTTCAACCTTCTCGGAGGATGGATGCCAACAGTTAATATTATACTAATTTTATAAAATATCTAATTTTGCAAAAAGACCATGGGTTCATGTGCCCCATATTTTAGCCTATAAATCCGCCCCTAACATTTCATTTTCAAATCCTATATGTTGCAGTTTAATTTTTAAATCACTATTGACGTAGCGAATAGTAAAGTGGAATTAAATTATGTAATGGAATATCAATCAATCAACTATCGTTTAACTTATACATAATATATACATAAAATTGAACCATACATACAACTAACTCTAATATGTTTTGTGATTCTCAATTTTCAAATGATAGATAATAAATACAACATCTAAATCTAGAAATGCAATAAAACTATAGATAATTAATTGTATTAGGTCTAAATTTTGATCGACGATTGACCAAGTATACATAATTACATGTATGCTTACTATGAACATACTAACACCACTTTCTCAGCTCAAATGCCAAGAATTTACAAGAAAATTGTTTACCCTCAAAATCGGATAACAATTAAATTTGTTAGTGGTTATAAGGACATGTGGATTAACATGATACAAAGCGATAAATTAGATTGCAATTTAAATAAATACCGATAGATTAACCATAAACCACGTGAGTTGGATGATTCTTAGGAAAGCAAGCCACCCTCGAATTGAATACACTTTATTTGACTCCAAAATATCAAAGAGTAAGAACTTAGAGAATGTATTGCTTATCAGTATATGTTACAATATGTTTAATAAATTGTCAAGTCCCCTTTATATATTAGGGGAGATCTACTTTTTAAGGTATTATTTTATTGTTCCATAAAAGGCAAAAGTCCTTGATTTGCTGACCGTTGGTTCCCTTTTTGAGTCGTTCCGTGATTTCTACCATAATAATTGGTATTACGGACCCTTGTCGGATGAGTTGGCAAATCTTTTTTTCGAGACCGCTAGAAACGGGGTCGGTTACGCCTTCGGTAGATTCGAGGGTAAATCCGATGGTCTCGATGGCTAGTTTTGATAATGCTTTGGGTCCGATCTCAAATATCATATTCCGATCTTTGCTGACAATGCTGGAAGTCAGATCGAAACTTTGATTTTTACCTGATTACAGATGTGACGATTCTGGCCTACCGTTTCAGATGCTCGATCGAATATTGAGCTCGATTTTACCCGTATACAAATAGTCCCCTTATTTTTTGGAGAGTAGGCGACAAGAAACGATATGAGCTCTTGATTCTCACTTCGATCAATCATGACGTAAGCGACAAAATGTAATTGAACGTCCCATCAGTTCAGTCTTCAAGGCATTAAATGTGTGTTAGTTAACGGTCAGCCATCTTGGGATGTGAACCGCCTTGATGTGAAACGCCGTTTGGAAAAACTATAAATACCCTTCAATCCATTTATTAGAACCTTTTCCATTCCAACTCTTGCTCTTGCATTTTAAGAAAACTTTATTATCCTCATCTTCTGGTTTTCTGGCTTGAAGCTTAAGAACTTCCTTCCTTTGTTAGTTCTTTGAAATTTCTTCATAAGTTACCTGCTAGTTACAACTCCTCTTTTACCAACATCTTCTTCTCTCCTCTATTTAGAAGAAATGGAAAAGACTTCAAAATCTGTTCCTCAAAAAGAAACCCCTTCTTCCTCGAAATCATCTGAAAATATTTCGTCTGCTGCTATTGAGGAACCAACACCGGAACCCCCTCTAAAGTCGTTTGTCCCTTCGAGGTGCCCAACCGAGGCCGACTTCAAGATAGATAAAAACCCCTTGGTACCAGGTCGGTGCGAGCCGGTCTCGATGTACATATATAATATTATTGCCAGCATCCTCGATAAGGTCAAAGAGGACTGCAACTGGAAGATAAACTCATAGTGGTCCCTACCCCCGAGGAATCGATCACCACCTACATAGAGGGTTTTTAAGTGTTTACACTTACCCTTTCACGTTGGGCCCTTTAGACCCAATTATCATAGCCTTTTGCAAAAGGTATGAAGTGACGCTCTGGCAGATCCATCCTTCGTTTTAGAGGATTGTTATTCTGCTTCGTTTCTTTGTGAGCAAGCTCGAGGGGTGTCTATTTACCATAGACCACCTCATGTGCCTGTATAGCCCTCGACTTTACCTAGGGGGATTAATCAAGCTCGCACATCGAGCCATTAAGGCCTTATTCTCGAGCATCAACGAGGATCGGGACCGGGGTTGGTTAGGCCGATTTGTTCGAGTGAGGACCTCAGACTTAATCCCGGCTGCGGATATGTCATTTCCTGAGAAATGAAACATGAAACGTAAGTGTAACTTCTCCTTCAAGATTTCTTTTATTGATTTTCTTTTCCCTCAATTCTCATCGATGTTATGTGATGATGCAGTTGTTGCCTAGATGTCGGATGTTGTTCCTCAACTCACCTTGAGTCGAGGACATTGTGACACAGAGACCTTATTTCGAGCGCTTATGTCATGAGCTCTCGAAGGGTCGATGGGAGGCCCGTAACCATGGTGAGATTTTTTTCTCTAAGCTATATTTGATCTTACTTTCACATCATCGATCTCTGAATCATTTTACTTTCTTTTTGCAGGTTTACCAAAAGATGTTGAAATGAGGCCTTCATCAGCCGATAACGACATATACGTCGACCCCCCTGCTCCAAAGCAGGATAAAGAGAAGAAAAGAAGAAAAGCTCTGAGTTCCTCGAGCCCTAAAAAAAGAGACCGAGGAAGCAGCTGGCGCACAAACCTAAGAATGCCAGCGCCCGAGAACTCTCATCGGACTCACTCCATCAGTTGAGGGATGAGTCCGAAGAAGAAGAAGATTCTGAATTGGTGACCCGTGTGAGAAGCAGTTCCGAACTGCCTCAAGCCATGGAGGTCGTAGAAGAAGCAGTGGCTGAGGTCTCCAAACTAGGGAGGGTCGAGACCATTTTGCCCCGAGCTAGGGAGGTCGAAAAAGAGACTGTGACCGGTACTTCTCGGTCAGAAGGTAATGTGCCTATGGAGGCACTTGGGGTGATCAATCTCTCTGGATCGCATTGGTTTACCGATTCTATGATAAACGAAGCTCATACGTTGAAAGGTAACCTCGACGAAGGGGCCCAAGGAGCAGCTAATTCTTTCCATAATTTCTTCAATGGCCTGGATTCTACTACTTCGGAGAATGTCACCGGGTTGGGCGAATTACCAGTATAAAAGAAGATACCATCCCCGGGAACTGGCTGGTCTTCTTCAAGCCCAAAATTAGTGAATCAGTTCCTAGCTCCGAGTGTTGATCCTACTCGGAGACGAGCAATTTATATGTCTATTCTGGAGGACTCCCGAATTCTCTCTGCCTCAGTGGGGATTGCCAGTTACCTTTGGTGCTTAGTGACCGAAGATGATCAAGCTAGAATGACCGAGGTGGACGCGCCCTGCCTGTTCAATGAAGCTCAACAGGCGCTGAATCGGGTAATTTTGAATGTCCCTCCATTATGTACTTAGATTTAATCATGAATAATCGTAATATTTTCCTTTGTGCTTGCAGGCCTCGGTGCTTCATCACGAGACCTTTCTCTGATATCGATAGGATTTCAAGCGTCACGAGGCAGTGACTCGGGAGCTTGATGAGAAGAAGGATACTTACAAGCTTCTTAGTGAGAAGCTCCAGGCCGAGTTAGAAGCGGCTAGGAAGGAGCATGCCGATCTGGTCGAGCAGGTAAGACGAATATTCGAACTTAGTGGTGATGATTCAGACACATTGACTAACGACCCGAACCCACAGGTTCAAAAAAGACTTGACCAGATCGAGCAGCTCCAGGTAGAGGTGGACACGGTGAAGGTTGAGGCCAAAGAATGGAAGAAAAATATGGACCGCTTGGCCTCGAAAAAATAGACTGCCCGGGCATAGTTGGCTTCGGCTGAGGT